AAGATGCTGTGATGACAATTGTTGGGGTGCCATCAACGGGGAAGTCTTGAACTCCATTATCCATGTCAGTAATTGTGGCATTGTAGCCCTGCTCTGCAGCCTGTGATGCCAACTTCTGTGCCAAGGCCTGACAGGACCCGGTGTTGGAGCCAAATAAGATCAACACAGACTGTCCTTTGTCTTGATCCTTGTTTGAGGTGGTTGATGCCGGTTCCTCGGAACTTTGTTTTTGGCAGCCAGAAAGCCGGCTCTGAAGAGTCACGGCAGAGATGCCGGTGCGTAATCTAGCCCTAATGTAGCAATCTGCGGGCTTGATTGTCAAGCTCTGTTGGATTCGGATCTTATAATTGGGATCATCAAGGGATATGTCAAAGTTCTGGAGTACCATGGCGGTCACCATCAACGCTTCCTGCCAAGCAAAAGCGCGTCCAATACAGCCCCTAAGGCCGGTTCCAAAAGGCTATGAATGTGCACTGTCAGTGTCTCATACGTGCATTAAGCAATGAAGTGTGTTCACTCACCTTCCACACATTCTTTGGCAGGTCTTCGAATTTTCCATCCAGCATTCTCTCAGGCTTAAATTCGTCCGCGTCATCTCCAAAAACGGCAGGGTCTCGTTGAATTTTGCTCAATAGACACAGTACCGGCTGGCCGCGAGGGATCTCATATCTTGCTTTCCCAATAGTCACAGTCTCCTCCGTATTTTCAGGCCTAACACCACGTGCAAAGGCCGGGGCAGTTGGACTCAAACGGAGTGTCTCTCGCAAAACGGCCTCGATGTAATGAAGTTCCTTGAGATGCTTAGCCTGGACATTCTCTTTGCCAATCACGCGATCGACCTCTTCCCTCGCAGCAAAATACGTCTCAGGTTTCAAGAGCATATTCACGAACGCGAATGATAATAGACCAGATGTTGTCTCATGTCCTAAAGAATGTTAGAGTCAACATCTTCGGGATTTATAATGCCAGGCAAACTCACCAGCAATTAAGAAGGTCTGCATGTTAGCCGCAATTAGCTCATCACGCATCCCCTCGCCAGTCTTAGGATCTTTGCCATCGATCATGGCATTGAGCAAATCTTTCTTGGCTGTGGGGTTCTGGCGACGATGCTGTATTATGTCGTCCGCGATGCTATGCATGTAGTCGAAGTTCTTCTCAATCTCGGCTTGATACCCCGGAACCATCCTCTTGACTATGTTGCCTAATTGGCCCCTCTCACTACGTGAAGTGAGGTTGTGGCCCATGGCTTTTACATATGGATGTGCCACATCACTATAGAAAGAATTAAACCGATAGTCCATGGCACAGAGGGCAATAGTGTCTAGTGTAAGCCTAGTGAAGTCGTCGGTTGCCAATATGGGGGTCTCGGGGCCTAGTCGCGCCCATTTCATGATGAGCTGTGTGGCAATATCATACATCTCTGTGGGCGAAAACCATTAGTAAGAAGATGCGAAAGAGGAATTCAGCTCAGAGGTCATGAGGAGTGCCTACCATCATACATATCCAGAATGGCCATGGGTCCAAAGGCCGGGATGAGAATTCTGTGGGCTTGAGCCCAGTCCTGTTCCTTCTCTGTGTTAGAGGAGAACAGGCCTCTGGCACGGCCCTCGGGCTCGTCTGCCACCAATGCTGGAGGGGCAAACTTGAAGAATCGTGTCTCGTCACATAGCTCGTTGAAGAGTTCGTGGCTGCAGACGAAATAATTATCGTGTCCTGCAATCTTCAATTTGAAAATATCCTTGTACACATCTCCAAGTCGTTCAAGTGCATGGATAGGTACTTCGTCTTGGAGCTGTAACAGGTTACCGATGATGGGTAAGCCCTTTGGTCCGGGAATGGGAGTGGTAGCCATCATAGATTAGGTTTAAGGTGTGAGGATATGCAGAAACGGTTGAATAGCAATAAGCAAAATTGGTACCGCAAGAGAGATAATATTTGATCCGAAAGCTAGAAATAAAAAGATTTCTGTAGAGGCTATTTCTAATAATTCTATTCCACTGTCCTAATGCTCTCTTATAGTTGAGACTCTGGAGAGGCCTTTGCTCGCAGGGCGCAGAGCTCTGGCAAAGATCGACAGTGGCCATGCACCCAGCCTCGGTATCTGAGATGCACTCAATGCAACAATGTCGTAGGTACGCTTACATTGGTGATCTGTTGATTGGACCAGACGCGAACACCAGCATCCGGGACCCTTGCAAGTTGGTCGGTGCGATCGGGGCCGTCTCTCCCTACTGCGCCACAGAGGCTTGACAACGGACTTGTTAAGCTCCGACTCCCGATGATGAGGATCTTTTTCCGCAGCAAGAGCACGTGATCTTAGTTAGTAGGTGGGTAACAAGGTGCCGAGATTCAACCGCATGACTCTTGCCTCTGCTGTAATAACAGGGGGAAAACGTAGCACGAGTCAGTCCCCCTTTCATCACCTACCCTAAACTCTGATATTGAGATTTGCTAAATTGACAACTCTTTTACTACCGCTCGATGAGTGAAGGAGGGCGGTTCATGGATCTCCAATATCGTCTGATTGATCTATACTTTGTTGAAACGCCATTTTACTCAGTTGCATCTAAAATCTCCAGCTACTACCTAGTTTGTTGCCTTCTACGGCTGTAGGGTTCACTCCATGTAGGTATTGAAGTGTCTACTATATAAATTGACAGATCTGGCATCAACACAACGCGCATTGTTTAGGATTTGACTGAAAATTATCTACTTTCAAAGACTTTCACGACTTTGATGTTATTCTAGAGTAATGATTAATCTAGTCAAACTACACATGACCATGGACACATCCATTTCTCAAATTCGGGACGACTTGGCTGCCTCTCGCAGAGTAAATAACCAATTTCAGGGAACGATTTATACATTTCTTCGTTAATAACTACTATAGATTTTTCGTTGCATTCATACAGTGCATTAGTCCAACTCGACCTCCTCCTCCTTGGTTCTCTATTTGGACAGGTTATTCATGCCAACGCTCGGCGTCGAGGCCGAGTCTTTCCCAAGACCCTGCTCGAACTTCTGCTGTCTAATTACCCTATTCTTCTGCGCACTGCGGCGATACAAGAACAAAGCGGCAGCGAGAATCAAACACGCGCCAACAACGGAGCCGACTACTGCGCCGGCAATTCCACCCTTGGAGAGACCACTGCCACCGCCACTGGAGCTGCCGTCGTTGCTACCATCCGCCGAATTCTGAGAAGAACTTGAGGTCGAGGTGGACGAGGCTGCTGAAGATGCAGAGGTACTAGTGTGATGATATGTCCATTCGTTCGTGGTATTACCGTCGTCATCCTCCGTCGCGTTGAAACAGGGGATCGTTGTCTTGAAGGCACTCGCTTCGACGAATTTGATATCGGCACATGCGTAGAAGGTCTCGTTCTCGTTGTGGTCAAACTCGGAGACGTAAATCATCTGCAAGGTGGCATAGTCTCCGGAAGTGACCGAGTTTGGAGGGTCTGTGACGTCGACACAAGTATGGCCAAGCTCCATTTCCTTGAATTTGGACGGCGAGATCAAAGTTGTGAAGTCACTGTTGCTCTTGGGATCTGAGATTCAATATTAGGACGTTGTTAGGAGCCAACAGGCCAAATCTGCCATCAGTTCCTCACCATCGGAATAAGAGATGCTGAGCGTGATGTTGTATGACTCATCTTGGGCCACGAGAGCAACTCGCCCATTGGCTGACAAGTTCGTTAGAAGGAGGTGATCAATAACAAGGTTGAAAACATGGGGTGTGCTAACTCATTGGAAACTCGGTTCGGTTGGTGTTATTGGGCGAGGCTATCGAACCGCAAGGGGCGGTGTTGTCCTGCTCTGCCGACCAAACACGGTCGGTTGGCCATAGGAACTCAGCAGGGCCAAAGTCCTTCCACTCGGCAGCAGCTGCGAGAGCCACCGAAATGGCCAGGGTGGCCCACATGGATTTGGGAGACATTTTGTGTGGAGAGGTCAGATTTGAACAGACGTCAGCATCCAGAAGCAATTTCTCAGAGATGAGATATTAGGGGAAAGCAAGAGATAAAGTTGGGGCGTATGCGCGTTTGCAATAAAGGAGGCGTTCCCCTCAACTCCTCATATAGTCGCCGCCAAGCTTGATTGGCCCTCTTTTTGGATCTTATCGGCCAACAAGTTCCGAAAAGTCTCACGAGATGAGTGTTTCGGGGATATATGCCAAAACCACATCGTTTTCTCCACTGCCTCTTATGGAAAGTGAGATAAAAAACCGAGGATTTAATGTGATGGCGTTGGAGGCCGCATTCACCGAAATCGGCAACATCCGTCTCGTAGGAGTGCGTATATCCGAGAAGCTCTTTACAAGCCGCTAGATGCAGGCAAATATTGGTCTGGCACCGCTATCACATGGGACGGGGTGGGTTTTACTCTGGTCTATGAGTGCCGTTGTATCCGGACCATTGGCCACTAATCAGATAATCTGATAACTAAAAATCGAAACCTTGATCTTATCAGATGTCTAGACAATACATAATTGGTTCATGTGGCAATATACAGTGGGCCATCACTTTCGCTTTAAGCTAGGGGTACCCCAGCTGAACAACATGTCGTGCCGTGTGATCCTTTTGTGATGTGGTGGAGCGGATCCATATGGTTCGGCCATAACCTCCCTTGTTTCCCTGTTTTCCTGAAAAATATCTGCTCTTCTAGACCTAGATAGGATTGGGGATCCATCGAGGTGCAGGGCAGAGCGGCCAGCCTACCTCACTCTCCGCAATCAGGTCATTCGTCGTAATCTTCCCATCCTCTAGGACCGCGATATTTCCACGAACAGCATGGAGGCAAATTGTGTCTCCGGACCCGAAGCTAAAGACGTGGTGGATGGTCTTGGTAACGTCCGAAAGGGACCGCTCTAGGGGTTAAGACTATAAGTAAGCTTCATTCGCCGCCTCTAGGCCAAGAGCTTGGTTCTTTACCTCTAGTTCCTCACTTGTCTCGAGCTATTTAATAATTCATCTTGTCACTCACTTGTCAATTCAATCAAAATGCAGCTGTCACTCATCACCCTTGCCTCCCTGGCGTCTGTCGCCATTGCCTCCGCCTCTGTTGAGGAGCGTGACTTCTGGCCTGCTCACATTCCCCTTGCCAAGCGTGCCGTAAGTGGTGCTGAGTACCAGTGCCACGCCAACTGCGGTATGATCTCTCTTCTTCTCATAGATATCAACGGGTGGGTTGATGTGAGCTTTGAAAGAAATGGCTGACCGGTTCTAGGTTACACCATCCTCAATGCCCAGCAGAGCGGCTACTGTGACGACTCCCAATGGAAGACCTACTACCAGGGATGTATGGAGTGCGCCTACACCTACAATCTCTGGCCCGACTATGGTGATGGTGTTACCTCCGCCGCTAAGAGCTGTGGCTTGACTGTTTCGCCCAGCCCATCTAGCGGCTCCTCGGCAGCTTCCTCTACGGCCTCTGCTCAGAGCTCCGCTGCTCAGACAAGTGCCGCCCAGACCAGTGCAGCTCAGACCAGCGCAGTTCAGACCAGCGCAGTTCAGACCAGTGCTGCCCAGACCAGTGCCGCCCAGACCAGTGCTACCCAATCTAGTGTCCGATCTTCTGCTGTTCAGTCTAGCTCTCTGGCTGCCTCTGCCTCATCTGCCGCTGCTAGCTCTTCTGGCTCTGTCTCACATGCCACCACACCTGCAGCCTCTGCTACGACTCTGGTTAGCACCACTCCCAGCCTTACTCTCGGCAGCAACTCGGTAAGGAGCTTTCTTCCTGCCAGTAGAATGACGTTATGTGCTAATCGGTTTAGACCACCTCTTCCACCTCAGTTCCCACCGCTGGTGCCGCCAAGAACTTTGGCTCAATCTTGGTTGCGGGTGCCGCGGTCTTCGCTGCTGTGAACATGATGTAAGGAGGTTTTGGCTCAATGGCTGCCATGGACCTATAGGCATGGATCCCTTGTAATAGCTTTGGTGGTGGAACTTTCTAGGTGAATGGGGTAAGCTTACCTCCAGCTTTTGTAACTATTTCCCGTCATTAGCTTCGTTGTACTGCTCAATAATACTTTCCCCGTCTTCTTATACACTGAAAACATTTCCGAGACAACCTCTTGCCTCGCCTATAATTTGTTACATGATATTCTCACTTAGTCTCGTGTGTTTTTTCAGGCATTAATATTGCATCGTTTTAATAACAAAGCTCAAGTTCATAGATCAAGAATTCTATTTGAATCGTATATACTTTGAATTATACACTGAAGAAGTTTATTCTATCAATCAACAAGCTCTCTAAGGCTTCTTGTGACGATTAAAGAAATCAATAATCTTAGGAGAAAGGAAAAACTGCGCGTCCGACTGTGATGGGTACGCGTGGGGATGGCCCTCGAGCTTGTAATGGCTCAGCAACCCCTTCTCTCCATTGCAAGTCCACTCCTGCAGAGACACCCCATTGCCTAGCTCTGAGGTCGAGGAACCAGTGCACTTGTTACGCGTAGACCAGCGGGACAACCACTCTGGGATTGCAGGAATAGGACCGCCGCGGCCAGTACCGCCCTCGTAAGGGATTGTCGTATCTCCAGTCCCGTGCGATTCCAGGAAGGGGAGAGGCGAGCGCGAGGGGTGGCAGGTCTCATCTCCCGTCACGTCGGTGTATAACGCAGCCGAGCTGGACGCAAAGGCGGCAAATTGTCCGCCGTGCTCGGGAGAGCAAGCCAGGGTGTTCACGAACCCTCCGCCATTTGATTGACCGGCTGCGTAGACGCGGGATTCATCGATACAGTAGTTGTTCTTGATGCGGTTCACTAAATCGGTGGTGAAGACTTTGTCGCTGACGCCGGGGGTGGCGTATGTTGGGCCTTGCCAGTTTCCCTGTAGTAGAAACAATACTTGTTAGACTACCACATTTAAGTCAAGTCATTGTTGGGTGGGAAGTCCTTACATTTACACCGGCTGGGAATACAGCAACCATCTTGGAATTGATAGATTCGTCGGAGAACTTCGTAAGCGACTCTATATCCGAAGGCGTTCCTCCAGAACCGTGGTATGCGATCACCAGTGGCTGGGGATTATTCACGTCGTATCCCGAGGGCAAGAAGATTCGGTAAGTTCGAGTACCACCGCTGCTCTCAAAGCTAAACTCCTTCGTCTCGCCGATGAAGTTGTGGGACTTTCCACAACCCGCTGAGCCTCGCTTCTGAATTGCGAGACCCTGAACACCCTGCAACATGGCAGAGGCTAGGACGAAGAACGGAACTGCGGCGTTGACAAGCATGATGGGCGATTGTGAGTTCACTGGCCGTAGAAAGCTCCTGCGCGAGATCGAAGAGTCTCCGTCCTCATCTTAGGCGGACGTCGCTCGCAATTATTTCTAAGCCGGTTGCCAAGATCCCGTGCCCTGCACCTCCCCACCTCGTCAGATTCGGATCATTGGAGTGATTGAAGGATTCCGAACCCAGCGTTTCATCAGCCGGGAGTTGCGTTCGACCCGCCTCTAGATCCATCGTGCTTTGCCGTTGTCAGACTAACAACACCAAGCTGCCGAGGTTCAAATGTATTTTTGGTTTCATCTAACGGCATATTCTCAAATCTTATACCATTGGTAGTCTTGATACAATTCGAGTCAGAACATCAGCTCTCTCCTGTAAAGTCATAATCATAATAGGCAGCCCAAGAAGAAAAATCGTCTGTAGCAAACGCAAACCCAGGTCCGTGTTACCCCTGGAGCTATGAAGATGATCCTCCTTAAATAGAAATGCTAGCGCCTCACTTTATTCGTGGGCATGATTTATTTAATTTAATCAGCGAATCCTTCAGCCTAACAAGGTAATAATCCACACAGAGTCGATATTTTGGGAAGTGATGCACACGAGGCCCAACCCACGACGTAATGTCTGTGCCGAACGTACCGACCATTGTCTTTTTGGTGTTTTTGATCTGTCGGTTTGGTACCGAAATTCAATCAGACTACAGGTCGGGTTAATTCTCTGCCTGAGCTGTGACTAGGCCGACGTTGAGCCGAGTCTGTTCACTTGTATTATAATTATTATTTGTTTCTTTTGCCGTAAACAAGGGTTATCCCAAGATCAGGCTGCACACGTGACATTATCACACAGTTTATTTTTTAAATCTACTTAATTTACGGTCCATACCTGAACCTTCAACACCATGAAAACTTAAATAATCACACACATAGCCTGGGCACAGGCATCAACATCTCAAAAAACTCTAATAAGGGCTGGCCAATATATAAGTCGGCCATATCCGACCGCAAACTTTTCCGACGCCCCGGCCTAATCCGAAAGTAATAACTCCAGATGATCACAGACTTAATCGAGGGCCTCCGAGAGGGGAAGCTCATCACCACCAACCACAACCACCTCACAATCCGAGCAACAACAATTAAATATCGATATCGACCATTCCCATCCCTGGCACCCAGAGCTCTTTTTTGAGCAGATACAGCACCCGGACTTGCGATCCATTACAGGCTTCCTTGCGGCAACAAAGCCGCTATCAACGCGCGGAGGCCCTCGATTTAGCCTGTGATCATCAGTGTGCACTTATTACTTTCGGATCGGACCGGGGCGTCGGAAAAGTTTGTTGTTGGATATGGCCGACTTATTTGTTGGAACGTTCGAGATGCAAAGAGGTTGATTTGAATTCGCGTCCGAGAGAGAGGCACGGGATTTACCGCAATATATTTTCTAGATTGTTAGCAATGCAGATTCGATTTCAACCTCATGCCCATTCATTCACACATATTCGGTGTCGCACGGTTTATATAACTATAGAAATTGGGAATGGTTGTTGTTGAGGAATTTCAGCCAACGTGCCAGCATCTAGGAGGCTTCGATCTTGGACATATGGGTTCTTAGTCATTTGGCCAAGGCTTTCACTATCAGTATGTGGCTAAGTATCGCCCTAAGGCTTTCTAGCCAACATTCTGTTCATGTTGATGTTGATATCAACATGGAATATTTCTCCGTAATGGCCAACAACGGCGTGAGAATTATGTATTATCTAGGATCGTTATTATGTCTCCTAGACCGAGTCGATTACCCTGACGGGCCTGACGGGACCCTGGGGGGTAGGGATGATAACGTCAGATACTGACATTATCGCTTGGAGAGTGGTGGTTGTGGTTGGTGGTTATGAGCTTCCCCCCCCTTTAGGGGCCATGGCCAAGTTATACACCTCTGCCCAGCCCTTAGTGGAGTTTTTGAGACGCTGATGCCTATGCCTAAGCAATGTGTGTTAGTATTTGACTTTCCTAGTGTGAAAGGCTTAGGTATAGAATGTAATGTGTCAATCACGTGTGTGGCCCGATCTTGAAATACCCCTTGTTTATGTCGATAAAAAAAAAAAAACCAGCATATCATCTAGTAGCTATCTCAAACGAATCTTAAATCCTTCTGAGATTTTTAAACAGGTTTCGAGAAACTCAAGCTTCAGCGCATAGAATTGGTAGCTGGAACATGGTCGAAAACCTGGAGAATCTTCGAGACAAGGTGACCATTCGACTCAAGACAGGATTAGATACAGTAATTATCGATAGATTTAGTGGCGGCGAGCTTACGTACAAATTAATCGCTTCTTCGAGCACATGAGGAGAGGTAAACAAAGACTGTATGGCATACCCGGGGAGCCTCCAGAAGACCAAGGCATTACAACTTATTATGGACTAATACGAAGAGTACGACTTGCCTAACATGAGAAGCGTGAATGGTGGTATGAAAGAGATGAACTGGATTGAAAAGGCAGCAGACAGCCCTGAACGAATATATTGATCAGTTGTTTTCAGTTACCGCATGTGCTTCATTGTCATATTAATCTGGGGAGGGATTACATCTAGAGTCTGTAGGAGCGTCATGTCTAGGTGAATTATCAGCTTTCCCTCGTCGGTCAAGGTCGTATCATCTTAGTTGCAATCCAGCAGTGGTCTTGGTGCACTAAGGACTTTGCTAGCTTCCCCGCCATACTTCTATTATGATAGATGAACCGAAGGACTTAGCCATGACCCTAACCCTTCGTGAATGCCCAGTAACGATTTCCTTATTCTAATTTAGTGCGATTTATGATGGGAGCTAGAAAGACGCGTCTTCTATGAGACGTAGATGTCCGTCTTTCGTACGATGCCCTTGCGGCTAGAGCCATCATCATCCGTCTCAAGTTCTCTAAAGCCTGACGCGGTGACTTTTGCCGAATGGAAAGGTCGATCATGCTTGTTGATCGAATCCAGTCTGATTCCTGGACCGGAAGATCCCAGCGCCTTTTCGCTCTGCTGAATGTCAGTTTGTGCTTGAGGGGACAGATGGATGGCAACTCTCTCCACATCAGGCGTGGGCTCATGGGACTGACCTCTCGGGTATACTTATACTGAGCGTCGCGAGAAGAATTGCCGTAGTAGAATTTGAACAGCTTCCTGAGAGGAGGCAAAGAGCATGCGATGATACCCAAGCTGCACTCGAGGTTTGACGTGATGCTGATGACACCAAGATGATCTGCGATGCGCTGTTAGCATGGGAGGAGAATGCTGATTGGGATACCAGACGGACAGCCTATCTCAGTTGGATATTTTTTCGTGTCGTAGTACTTCAGAAAGGGCATCCGGATGCAAGTGGCAATACTTGCGGTAACACCAATTCCAAGGATGGCAATGACAGACACCTTTCTTCTTCTCGACATTTGTAGCCCGGCGACAATGAAAAAGGGGATAATGGCGCAAGCCCAATCCGTTACCATCTGGATAACAGACACGATATAACTGACAGTCTGCAAGCTGATCTTATCCTGGCAGGTTCCTCTGGGTTGATGCTTGTTAGTTACGGACGATTTGCCTTAAAGTCGGAAGCACGTACAATGCTGGGTTCCATGTTGCCGCAACAGGAACACAGTTTGCGAAAACGAAGGTCAGAGCAAGGATGGCCACAAGGACCATGGTGGCCATGTTGGCGTATAATGGGACGCAGACTCGCTTCCTCGCATCCACGCGAATACAGGTGAATCCAATGGCGCATTTGATAATCGTCGACGAGATAAAGTACAGGACCTCCCAGTAGGTTTGGTATTCGGACGCGCGGATCAGATACAACGGCGAGGGGATGTCGACGTCATGGCTCCCAACACCATAGCGAGCAGCTAGGACGGCAAAGGCAACGGCGGGGATGAAAGGTAGCTACCGACGGAAAGGTTCAATTAGCTAAAGCCTGGCCGGAGAGAGGTGGCAGGCGCTTGCTAGAATAACTGATGTGATTTCAACTTACAATACCAAGCAACACCAAGTAATCCTCGACACCCCAGTGCCTAGAAGATGCGACGGAGCAGCCTGAGCGAACATATATTCGAAGTGATACAGCGAGGAGACTGATGGCACCGAACAAAATGGCGACAACTTCCACAGCGGATCCCAAGCCTTTGGGCGTCAGTGGCGGCAGGTCATTGGCGAGAGCCTGAATCTGTTCCCCTGTCATGGAATCCATTGCAATTGCCAGTTTTTTGCCAATGGCACGCGATGTGTCGTAACTAACATAGAAAGAAGAGATGCAGACGAGCGCGATTTTGTTGATTTGCGTTGTGTCTCTTTTTTCCTCCTTTTTTCCCCGTTGGCTTGGGTGGCAACGACAGTCATAAGAGGAATTGGCAGGGCATAAGAGGAGACACGGCGGGGATGTGCTCTAGATCAACAGAATTCTCTCCAAATTCAACCGAGTGGGAGAGGAGCTCGTCTCAAGTCGGATTGGCCCCAGGGACCCAATGCCACGTTCTTGGGGCACAGACAACCGTTGCGTTCAGCCTAGGATTCCGTGGCCCTGGAAACCGTTTGGAACTTAGTATCACACTCTAACCTGATTTGTGCTCAACAGTTTATGCAAGATTCTGCAGGTGGGAAAGAAAACAAGTCTACGGGATACTCCCAGTAACTCGAGTACTACATCTATCAAGCATTGCGAGCCCAGGCTTTGAGCGCACACATCGGAGGCAAGCCAATTGGCATGATTAGCGGCCAATGACCTTATCAAGCCTTGCTGTCTGCTTGAGTGATGAATGAGCTAGCTGCTCTTTGTTTGATGGAGAACAACTTCGGTAAAGAGGTACTTGGAGGGAACATAAACCTAGCACACACAACCATTCATTGATAAGTCCCCTTGGGTCCATTTCGCCTATCTTAGCTAGTCTACTGGGGAAATTCAGTAGCGTCCCCTGGAGCCAGGATTAGTCTCATCACGGTGGGGCTTCCAACGGTCGCGTATGCGGAAAATGAGTCCTTTGTCTGTTGGCCGTTGGCCGCTGGAGTCAGGGGGGAGGGGACAGTGGGACCCCCCTGACACCCGCCAGCCCCCGGCAAACTCGTCGACTGGCTAAAGGGTGAACATTCTGTGCAAATATTTACGAAGGGAGCTCTTGAGCCAAGTGGTATTCTGAAAAGTTCGGTAGCTGCTGGCCCCTCACAGACTTATATGTTCCCCACTCAACAACGGCATCATACAAAACTCGTACTCTTCGCGTACCCCAGTTTTACAACTGGCAGTCTAGTGGATTATGCATGATTACCAATAGAGCATGAGCCCTCGTTTATCCGCGGAGAGCCCATTCAGTTAATACATTTTCTAAAGTTGTAGGTCTTTGGATTAGGGTATATGTGATTAACCAGGGTCTTACCGCTCCCCCCCTAGCTACCCCGTTTGGGGGGTCGTAGCCTCCTTATTCATTTTATAAGATGTGCAGAATCGCTAGGGAGAGAGAGAGAGAGAGAGAATGCAGAACTCAGCAGAAAGGAGAGGAGGGAGAGGGCGAGGAATCGGCGACCTCCTTGGTACAACGTATCAGCAACGCCAGCTACCGGTACATCAAACGTCCGGCTCCAAAATGATATAACAGCAGCCGAATCTGCGATTAGGAAAATTAATCTAATCCTACCGCCAAACCTCTCGTCAATCGTTCGCACCATCTTCCCCCATGCGTCAATACCCGCGGGGCGCTCCTGTCCAGGGCTGTGATCAAGTGCCAACAGATTTGCGGCTCAGTAGGTACTCTCGTTTAATAAAAGGTCCTCTGGGTCAGTCATAATTGGCCCCATGAGCCTTCACGTAGTGGGGTGATAGCAGACGCATTATTCCCCCACGAGATTTGATCCAACGAACTCATTTCTAATTTCAGAATCAGCCAGCTAGGATTCAGTCAAGTAAAGCAGAATCCAAATGTTACCTAGATGGCCAACTTGAACCAGCCGTTGGTTCAAAACAGTGGATTGCATGTCAGCTCTAGTAGGGGACCAGAAGCAACGCTAGTTGGCCGACTATGTAACTCTGCCCAGGTCACCACTTGGGATGCTGAGGCGCCAAGAAGCGTATCGACGAATAAGCCGCAGGCTATCAAGCAAAACCATGTAAGGCATCTTTCTGAATTCACTCATTCGTTCTAGGGACGTGGAGACGCGTAAATGGATGTCAGGGTACCTAGTCGAAACAAACCCCTGCAAATGGAATGAAAGCGCTCCCACATCCTTTCACAAGCTTTCCGGCATGAAAGCGTCTTTGAGCGGCACTAGAGTTGAGGGGGACAAAATAATGACATGATGACCCTTGTGCAGTATGCGTTGGCCTCAATGTATCCACTTGACCTACAACACAATTGTAATAAGTGCTATAACCTGGACATTTTTGCAATTGGTGATTCCATCAGTTAAATTAGGCATACTCACCCCCATAAGCACACTGTTCCCATCCGAGTCTACAGCTATTCTACCAGGCTAGTTGACGCCTCCAACTTTGCCATGGCCAACCTTCTCGTCGTCCTAGGGGCCCTGCTGCCCATTTACCTGATCGGAAGCGCCATTATCTCCCTCAAATTCTCTGCATTGTCCTCCATTCCTGGTCCTTGGATCTGTGCGGTCAGCCGTATTCCCTACTGGCTTGTTTCGCTTCGGGGTGAGGACGTACAATGGATGAAAGAGCTACATGACCAGTATGGGCCCGTTATTCGTTTTGGTCCTACAGACGTGAGCTATACCACTGCCCAAGCATGGAGTGATATCCATGGTCCCAAGGTCACAGAGAAGGCGCAGGAATTTTCTGTCCAGCCCATCAATGGTAAGACGCACCTTTCTGCACTCGAGTACCATCTTGAGTATGTATTTAACAGTTGATAGGCGTTCCAAGTATGCTTACAACCAATACCGAGAATCATACTCGAGTCCGTCGCCTGTTTTCCCCTGCTTTCTCAGAGCGTGCCTTGAAGCAGCAAGAGCCCCTTTTCAGGAAATATGCCAGTCTTCTTATACATAAGATCGCCGAGGTTGGTGATGAAGGAAAGAAGCCTGTCGAGTTTACGCAGCTGCTGAACTTCACCACGTTTGATGTCATGGCCGAACTCTGCTTTGGAGAGAATCTAAATCTTCTAGCTAAGAATGAGTATAGTCCCTGGGTCAGATCTATCTTTGAGTCCTTGAAGATGCTGCCTATTGCATCCATGATCAACTACTATCCCATCTTAAATGCTCTCTTTACTCGCTTTGAGCCCAAGTCTGTTACCCAACAGCGGGTAACGCACTGCAAGCACTCGGAGGAGCGAGTGAACCGCCGCCTCAAGGTCGGCTCTGAAAAGCCAGATATTTGGAACTTGGTCTTGTCGGCTGATGAGGGCAAGGGTCTTACGCTTGAGGAAATGCATTCTAACTCCGAGTTGTTCATGCTTGCTGGATCAGAAACCACCGGTAAGTCCCCCGTCCATCCCCTCAGCCCCAAACAAGAAAACCCCAATACAACAAGAAGGAATCAAAATCTAATACCATCTTCATAGCTACACTTCTGGGTGGCTGCCTCTACAATTTACTCATGAGCCCTGAGAAGATGAAAACTCTACGCGAGGAACTTGACGATCGTATCAAGACAGAAGATGACATCACATTCGAACGTACCGCCGAAATGAAATACTTGAACGCCTGCCTGAAGGAAGCCTTGCGTATCTACCCTCCTGTGCCCATTGGAAGCCCCAGGGTTGTCCCCAAAGGAGGACAGCAAGTTATGGGCAAATGGATTCCCGCAGACACGCGCGTATCCGTTCACCATTGGTCAACATATCGCTCCGAATCAAACTTCAAGAACGCCGGCACCTATGCGCCGGAAAGGTGGCTCAGAACGGATCCCATATACGCAGGAGATGCCCTGGATGCGCATCAGCCATTCGGCTTCGGGCCTCGTAACTGTCTCGGGCAGAACATGGCCATGCATGAAATGAGACTCCTCTTAGCCACGGTTCTCTTCAGGTATGACCTGGAGCTATCCGACGAGAGCCGTGACTGGTCTGCTCAGAAATCCTTCGCTTTATGGATCAAGAAGCCACTGCTGATTCGGGCGACGCCCAAAGCGTAAGTTGGACCAGCCATACTAAAACTCTATGGTCGATGACATGGATTGCTGTACTATTATCGCATAAAACCTGTCTCTATTTAGTAACAGTAATAAATACAACTTAATGACAAACATATTTATCCATGTATGGCTTAATACTTTGAATTGTAGTTTCTTAGGTATCTAGCCTTCCACCTCAGCTATTTACTTTCACTTCAATCAGTGCCTGCAAGTAAGTAATCCAATTGACATAAGGCCAGAATGGGAAATTCGTTCAGTGAAATACTAGTAGTCATTGACTCAAGTAAAACAGGTCTATAACGACATTCAAAAACACAACTTCTTCGGGTTTGTGCGAGAGCGACGTGCCAAACTGGGATGGCACGTCTCTCAATGAGCCCGAAGATTTGTGGTTACTATTTTAGGAAGTTAATCAAACCACTATGACTGGGCTGAGAGGTTTCATTATTCCATGATCGGAAGCTTGATAACATCGCGGTCGTCTGCCCATTGAAACTCGTTCACAGGACAAAGTAGTTTCCTCGGCACAAAAGCAGTCAACTGTTTGGCCTACGGGTTTATCAACACAAGAAGACGAGGACGGATAATCATTTTGAACTTAGATTCTTGCTACGCTTTGAATGAAGTACAATTACATGTAACTTTGATGACATAGGTAGAGCCCCAGGGTAATCGATCATCTGTGGAAAAGCTTACTCGTTTTGGTCGTCGGATAGAGACAAGCAAGTAGAATTGTTGCTATACTGCGACTAGTTGGATAACCTTACTATTTGAGAATTTTGTGCCCTTCTCTCGTGATGGTTTCCAATACCTGAGATATGAATCTTGAAGGCAGGGAAGATAAAACGTGGCTGTCTTTTGAACAGCCTTCTGCCCATGCTTTTCGCAAAACTTCAGCCCTGCGGCGTATTTCTTAGCCCGACACTTTAAAATAATGCTTACTAGATTAAGGCGAGACCCTGACAGAGATAATATGACCAAAAGGCATTTAATGACTATTTATTCATTTCCAAGGCGATGCATAAGACTTACTTCCTTGGCTAGACTACAACCAGGAAAAGGGGACCAAAGCCAAGATTGAAGCACACTTGAAATATTAAGAAGTTGAAATACATAAATCCAATTCAATATGGCTCTCATCTGGATAGCTGCTTGTACGCCAGAATAGCAGCTGGAGGGCTCGGCTTATGGTATGGCTAGAGTGCCGAGTTTCAATTATTTATTGCCACATAATGTTCTTCATTTCCGCAAATACCGTAATACCGTACAGGAAATCGTATCTATTTTACATGTGAGGGCTTTTTGGTTGGTAGAAAGCCTCAGCCATTCCATGTCGAAATGACAAACAATCGTCAAGCGACGTCGATAGAACTTGACTTATGGTGGATGAATACAAGTCCACTCACCTTCTTCATGACCTTGCATTCAAGCAAGAAAACACAATGAAAGCAATGTAATAAATCAAAAATTAGGCTCTCCAGGCCCACGAGAGGCGATGAAGCAGAAAGACGCCGCGAGGTGCAGTGCAGGTCTCCAGAGCTGTATTCTCATTTTCTTGAGCTTGAGAATACCGAGCAGGTAAGTATGGAGAAAGAAAAAGAAAAGAAGAAGAAGAAAGAGGAGAGTTACCTGACTTTATAGTCGAAGAAAGGAGTGGAGTGTGCAAATAGGTTGCATCAGGCAGCAGCAGGCAGCAGTCGGAACATGTCTGTAGCCAATCAGCTGCGACAACCATTGCACATACAGACACTCTCTTAAATGGCTCTTATTCTCATTCAGATAGGGAAATGCCGAGGCGGCGATTGAGACTAGGGAACCACATTGTATTAGAAATTGGACATTTGAAGTTGTTACTAAGTGGTCTCTGCATTCACTTGATTACGAATGCGGCTGGCGAGGATCTCCAGCCTGATCAAAGAGTTACAAACCCTCTTCCTGTGTCAATACACACAACATAGGCTTTTATACGTGCCGCCAGTCATCTAGACTGTAAATGACGGATTCGGTACCGAAATAGTCGCCGCCGCTAAATTAGCTGGTTCATCCACTCATTCGGGGCCGCTCGATCGTGGCGGCCGGGGAATACAGATTGCCGAATATTTCCTTGTTCCTCCCGTTCCACGATTTAAAATGATTTAAAACCCTCTTTCTGTCCCCTGAATGTATATTTCTGAGTTATTCACTAGAGCCTTTAAATCTTCATCTCATCTTTCATCATGAGCACGAAAACTGTTCTTATCACAGGATGCAGGGACGGCAGCGCAGGGTCAGCCCTAGCTCTTGAATTCCACTCCCGCGGGCATCGCGTCTTTGCCACAACGACTGACGGTTCGAGAATGAGTTCCCTAGAAGCTCGTCAAAACATCACTCTTGTAAGACTCGACGCCACGTCGCAAGCATCTATAGACGCCGCTTTCTCAGAAGTCCGTGACGCCATCGCCGCAGAGAGCGACGGCAAGGCACCCCATCTTGATATCCTGATCAACAATGCGGCTGTTTTCAAGGCCATGCCACTGGCCGATGTCAAGCTGGAGGACGGTCGCAGACTTTTCGAGGCCAACTTTTTCGGCGTCTTGGCTGTCACACAGGCGTTTCTGCCCCTACTTCGATCAGCATCCACCGGGGAGCGAGAAGGGGGGCATATCATCAATGTGAGCAGCATAGCAGCAACTATGTGTCCACCCTGGCAGGGCATGTATGCCTCAAGCAAAGCAGCGCTGCTAGCGATGAGCCACGTTATGAGGCTAGAGCTTGCACCACTGGGTGTTTCCGTTACCGTTGTCATGTCTGGCGGAGTGGCAACAGCTGGAATTAGAGAGAGCCATCAACAGAACGAAAAGTTACCCGAGGGTAGTCTCTACAGTGTTCTTGCGCAGTCAATTGAGACGAACGAGCGTGGGAGGAGTTTCAAAGGAACCGATGCCGCAGATTATGCCAAACTGGTGGTAGGTGAGATTTTGGCGAACAGAAGCAAGCCTATGATCTGGAGAGGAGCATTTTCATGGGTTGCGTGGGTGTTGAGCTGGTTGGGATGGGTGGGAATGATGGACAAGGGGCAAATTGATGGCCATGGCCTAAACAGGCTATATGACTCGACAGTACCGATATCAGTCAAGGAAGAATAAGATGATGAAGTATTAAGTATAAAGTAATAATTCAACGTTGTTGGCAATGAGTCCACTCACTTTGGTATGAGCAGGATGATCTCTGCAAGCGGCACTAAGGCAGATATACTGAAATATGATGTTTTGTATAGCAAAAAGGGTATGTTGAATCTCCCAAGGCTAACGGGATTATTGTGCTAGTGAGTGTAACCATAGGAAATTGCCTTGCCAATCTGGGCCACAAACTGTAAGAAAGTAGATATACGAAAGGGGAAATACCATGAATTGTTAAAACCAAATTTACCCATCTTGCCCCCCATGACCGCCTATTTCACAAATGGCCGCTCAGTGATAGACCCTAGCTCAGTCATCGAGCCTTCCCCCTTGCTCGAAACATACTTCGCAGGATGCCAGATGAAGAAGATAACCATGGTGAGAAACATGAGCATTCCATCAAAAACCAGAGTAGGCCATTCGGTCTGAATTAGATATCCTTCCCTGCCTTGAACAAACTCAACCAATCTGAATATGGAGCGGATAAGAATGAGGGCTGACACGGCATAGAGCATTCCGAGTCCCTGGTGGTATTTGATATCTCCAGCATCGAACTGGGTGGGAAACTTGAACATTCTTTGGTGCACGAGAGCGGCAGTGACACCAAAGAATCCGAAGATAATGATCTGTATGGCCAGTCCAGCCACAACAATGTCCTCGCCCATTTTGATCATTTTCTGGTTTCTCATTACCATCAAACCGCAACCAATACCCTGCACAATGAAGGACGCTATATCTCCAGCCACAAATATTCTAGTAATCCATCTGTCGGATATAATGAGAAGCGATTCGGCGTGGACGGAGCGGACAAGCCGGCCGAGAGTCATGTAGATGGAGGCGGCAAAGAGAGCTGGCGCTAGGAGCGTGGCCATGGAAAAGAAAGCATAAGGCAGGATCTTGTCGGTGTTTTTGTAGGCCATGGCTCGCAAAGCATAACCGAGGAACTCAACTAGAACTTGCGTATCAGTATGTGAATATCGTCGTGGTCGCTCCAGATCGGACTTACATATACCGCCAATGACGAAGGCGATGCAGAACCAAGTACGTGTTTTGACCATCTTCCAAATCTGCAAGCCGGTGAGGATGATGAAGAGCGCCAGAAATAGTAAACTGGCCCACATCTGAGGTAGGTAGAACCATAGAAAAAAATTGGTGCCCTCGACGGGCTTTAATTCGGCCATGGGGGATGAGCGAGAGTGACAAACAAAAGGAGAGATAAGGTGATTGAAAGAGCGCCAAGGCACACACAAAGATCAAAACCCGTGAGAACTGTGTGCTATGGAATGATACGAGCTCACTTTTCTAAATGTCAAGTTGGATGATAGGTTTTATTTAATACTTGGGATATCTGGTGGACATGGTACTTGCTGGCGGATATCATCACTGCCCCGCCGAGGTTGCAGCGATCGGATGCGCGTATAGAGATGGTCAGATACGGCCTGCTCTCGTCCAATCCAGTCAATGCAATCGACTATAATCTCATCAGATCTGCAAGTGACAAGCCTTGGAGCTAGAACAAGGCCCGAACAGTCCGTGACAGCGCTGTCTGGATGGTGGCCCAAGTTAGGAGAAAGCGGAAATGGCCGAATGCGCGTATACAAATCTTGGCATGCAGATATGATCAGCTCAGCCCCTGATTTCCTCTTGCTAACTCAGCATTTGGGGTTATTGTTGTGGGCCCCTGTTCCATACTTGACTCAACTTGGGCTCGGCCCCCTTTGGAAACGCGCGCGTTCAACTCAGTCCACCAATCTCGCAGACCGCACCTCTCTCCATCGAAATGCCATGTTGGTGCTGACAATTGGCCATTGATCGTCAGCATGTTGAAAATAGCCCACAAGAAGACGAAGCGGGGGTCCAAATGCGACGAATGTAGACGGCGTCACATCCGGGTAAGCCCACATGAGCTCCAATGTCCATCTCAGCCATACCGTTTACTTACTCTCGTGTCTCCCAGTGTGACTTGACGCGTCCAAGCTGTGTTAATTGCAGCCGATCAGAGCGCTTCTGCTCTTTTCAGAATACCCCAGAGACTCCCTATGTGGCTCCCATCTCGGGAGGAGACTCGGAGTCACCCTTGTCTCACACCACGCCGCCGTTCCTCCACAATGGTTCACCCCCCACGGCGATTGATCCTGACCTGGTATCCAGCGGTGATGGGACCTCGGGGCACTTGGTTAACATGGCCCACATTCAGCTATTCCACTACTTCACAACCATGCCTTCACCCTACCCAGGAATGGCCGGGGGCGTAACCGAAATGCAGCGAAGCCTGGTTATCAAACACGCCTTCTCTACCCCATACTTGATGCATGAGCTTCTGGCTTTCTCGGCAAGACGCCAGAGCATCGAGTTCCCCCATGATGGCAATGCGGAGTATTGGAGGGACCAGGCCGCGGTGCTCCAGACACGCGCCCTCGGCCTGTTTAACGCTCGGCCGGAGCTCAACCAGCAGAACTGTATTCCCGTCTTTTTGTTCTCAGGGATGCTCGGCATCCATCTGCTCGCAGACACTCTTAGTCATCGCGGAGAAGGCCTCGAGTCCTTTGTCGACTCGTTTGTGAGCTACATTTCCATGCATCGGAGTTTACGCACCCTCATCACCGGACTCTGGCCCATGCTGGTCAATACAGAGTTGAGACCCATCCTCGCCTGGAGCGGCCAGGCAGTGATGGCCGCATCCCAGGACATGCTGGTCAGCGCCCCCTTGACCAAATTAATCTCCGAGGCCAGTGAGCTCCCAGCAGAGGCCAAGGCTGCCTGTCTCGAAGCAATCAAACACCTCGAATGGGCGCTTGATGAGACCTGCGAATCGGAGCACCGTCGCCAAAAGCGGGTGCAGATGTTGTTCACTTGGCCGCTCACAGTACCTGAGCCGTATCTTGAGCTGCTTAATTTGAGACGGCCTGAGGCCTTGGTCATACTTGAGCGCTATGCAGCGCTGCTCTGCCACTGCCGGGATCTTTGGATGGTTGGTGACGCTGGTCGTTACCTCACCAAACTCATTACATCGAGCTTGGATGGCAAGTGGATGGAGTATAAATATGAAATGGATCTCGAGCCTACACCTCCTCAGACTTAATAAAAAGGTATCAATTGCGAACAGTAGAATAATGCGGGCCTAACGCTTGTACTGGCCTACTGGAGTATACATGCTCAGCTCCAATCCATAACTATGCTGGTGCCAACGCATAATGACCAGGGCCCCTTTCCCCTGAGATAAAAGCCCGGCGGAAGAAAGCGGAATCGCGCAGGCTAGCCTGCCATTGCTCATCTTCCATTTCCTCTCTTGACATCTCCAACCTTCAGCTAAACCCACAGAACTAGAAACAGTTTCATATGCCTCGAGGAAGAGACATGGAGATATGCAATCACTACTGTATCTCCGTACTGGAAAGGCCCAAGTCAAAATCTACGTTCCAGGTGTCCAAAGCCTAGGTATAATATCAGCATAGGCATACATCACCCACTGACAGAGTACTCACCAATGAATCAAGCTGCTCCCAGTTTGGGAGGTCCGTAAGGGGGAGCCTCTCTTCATTCCCATCCTCGAGCGCCAGCCAGTTCGTGGTAATGTCCAAATTGGATGTTAATGGGGGGAAAGTGCGGGGAATCATGCCCTGTGGCGAGTCCCACTGGACCTGCCTCACCACCTCAGTACGGTACTCTTCCATGATCAGATGCAATCTTCGAGCCAGAGAGTCAGTCTTGGGGACGGCTGCAATCAGTCCTTGGCAGCGCTCTGCTGCTTGGTAGTAGCTCAACCATGAGGACGAAGGCTTCAATTTGCTCCTGATCGTGTATGTGTAGAGCACCAGCACGGCGCAAAAGGCTTGATAATGAGCGAACCAGGAGATAGAATAAAACTGGTCATTTTCTACCATGGCATCGATAGTGGCCATGATACTCATTGCGGCGTCCAGACAACACTGGATGTTGGCCTTGTTAGTCATTTGAAGTTCGATGGAGAGATCACCCTCATCCGAGTCGCTCAGTAGGCACGGCCTGTAAATAAGGATTTCGAGGTGGCCCGATCCAAGGGACAGGAGGTTGCTTTGCCGTTGAAAGAAGGGTCTAAGGATCCTAGAATCGACTTTCTGGGGATCAAGGAAACAAGGTAGGCTGTCTCTCCATTCTCTGACCATGGCACCTAGTTCGCTCATCGCTTGATATTGCTTGGCACGTTCCAATGGCACAATGCCATAGAGACGCTTCAATGCCTGACAGAGGATACGGCCAAGCTTGTGGTGACATATGGGTGCTAGCATCTTGTTCATGTTCTGGTGAGCTGCTGGTTTGATAACCAGTGGCGTAAGGTCATGATCGTCAACAACTGCCGGAAAGTCTTGGTCCGTTTCATCGTCGCTCAGAGCGCATGGGCGCCCAAATATTGCAGCCAAATACTTATCCAGGGTGTACGCGCTCCAGAACAACCTCTTGCCACATTCTACCTGGACCCAGTCCACGACCGCATCTTTCTGTTGGAATTTATTTCGCCGCCGCCGGTGCAATCCCAAAGCGAGAATCAACCTGGCAGTCGTCCCAAAAAGGCTCCAGCAATGATTAAGACGGGAGCATGTGAGTGTGAAAAAGCAGGCGAGCAGGAGGGCTTGAACTGTAACCATATGAGGGGACTGGGTTTGACGATTTAACTCTTTCTCAGAAGCTTGGAAATATCTTAGCCTGTTGCAAATTGAATATCAGTCAACGATCCTCGTGAAGAAGCTTTGCTGTTCCACACACCCGTCGGCGGCAGACGTTATTCGTGAATATCCACTCGCCTGTGCAAACAGTCCTAGCAGCACGGCTTTTTTGCCATGAGAGCAGGGCTCTGGGACGTCTCCATCATCATAATATTGTCGTATCCAGCCTTCTACGGTCGGGCGGTGAAGATATCTATATGTGGCCGATGTAAGTTCGAAAAACGTGTTTACCAACCTGTCAGCTTCTTCTCTCAGAGGCCACGAGAAGGTGTTTTCGTCGAACATGGGGAGTTCAGGGTCTCCAAGGGTGAATACAGAGCTCTCGTATGCTGAACCCGTATCTTGAACGAGACGCCTCCTTAACCGAATGAGAAAACTTAGACCTGACGATTCACCAACGAAATGGCCAAGCCTGTCGCCCTGTCCGGGTTCCAATGATAAGGAATCCCCATCTGGGCTTGCATTTTGTATTGTCCCACCTGATGATTTATCTTCTGGTTGCTCTAACGGGCCCCCTAGTTGAGAAGTTTCATCCATGCCCGTTGAAGCGACTGTTGGGTGAGAAACTGGGGGACTGGCCTGCGTGATAGAAACGCCCTTGGTGCATATGGGAGAGAGCGCTTTATTCGCTTGATTTTGGGACGTCCTCTTCTTCTTATTTTTCCCACGAGCGTATGGAGCATCAAACCGGCACTCCAAGTTGTCACGGAGGCATAACTGACATGGCCGGTTTCCTGTGCAGCGAATCTTTCTTCTACTTATAAATCAGTCCATAGCCCAAATGTGAGTCTTCATCGTGATGCTGACTTTTTACATAGATCGCAAGCACGGCTGACCCGCTGGCGATGGGAAGGCAGGGGTGGCATCGTTCCCAGGAAGCACAAGCTCAGCCAAGAACCAAGACAGGGCAAAAGATTGCTCTCCAGTAGGCGCTCTCCGTATGAGGATGAAATTGAATATACGGGGCACTTGTATCTATGTATTATTCAGTCCTTTACGATACGATGATAGTTAGTTCCGGGCAGCAGCACTGGAGGATGACAGAACCGGGATATGAGGGGAAGCCGGTTAGAATCCGTGGCAAGTCCCCACCATCGGATTTAAATGCACCGAGACGCATTCTGGACTAGACGAATCACGGATATGTAGTTGGTCAGAATTTCGATTTCGTTACGAGGAGCGTGAAGTCAATGCCGGGCGGTTACATCTGCCCCTTATCCAAGTGCCCCCGTTGCCTACAAGTAGTTCTTATTGGAATTCCGCCGAGTACTTCTATCACCAGGAAGAACGACACAGATGCCCTCACTTCTACTGGAGCCAATCAAGACGGATGCTGCCTTGGCCTCTTTGGATGAAGGGCCCACGTGCTAATAATAGGGGGCTGATTTCTAGCTAGGCCCTTATTGATTAAATTGATGCAATGAGCCATTTGAATGCGTGAACATTGGTCGAGACTTCCAAGGTAAAGATGAATGACCCTGCAGCCTAATGCTACGCCGCATTCACGCAAAATTCACAACCCCATACACACGTCTCGACGCTTTTCGTGAAAATCATCTCCAGGTTTAGCTTCTTGAAAGCCAACTTCGAGCCCCATCGGCTGCCTAGAACGAGCGGATATCATACACAAGATCCAGGTATATATACACATGATGGGACAGTCACTAGGAACACAAAGAAAGGGCAATTATTCTCACCAGAAAATTCTGCATCCCTCCACTTCGCTAACTATCTCACGCAGCGCTTCATCCAAACACCATGCCTACATATCCAGGACTCGGTCGCTATCTGTACTGGAGCCCAGAAAGAGGCTCGCGGATGCACACCGGGTTCAATTCCTATCCTATAGGGATTGACAGTGACTCTAGAGGCGCCAACTCAGAAATGCTGCTGGTTCGTGAGGTCGCCATGATGGTTGTCATGGACCTGCTCACCGACAAACCCGACTTCCATGCCAAGATCTTTGATGACGAGATTGTCAAAAAATGGAAGGCCGAGGCCTTGGCGATTCCAGATGAACAGTTGTATCAACAGATCGCCAACCACTTGGGTAGGCTTCCTCCATTGCCCAAGGGTATTCTGGACGAGGACTGCCTTGACTATGTGAGCAAATCGTCTTATCAAATGGTTTATATAATCTTAGTTTGGGCACTGACTATTTGATCAAGTGCATCCATGAGCTCCGCGCCAAAGCCGAGTTCTACAAGAAGACAGGCCTCGTCCCAATTATGGACGCATGCGCTTCAGCCTGCAAGTCCGACACCATTGTTGACGACTCACTGAAAGGGGAGCTTAGAGCTGCCTTTGTTAAACTCAAGGAAGAGCAGGGTGAGAACCCTGATTGGCATCCTCGCTCCCACGATCAAGTACAGAACCTGGTACACCCTTCCCTCTACCCGCTTGTCTATGGTAAGACTCGGGTCTTCACCGATGAAGTCGTGGGTGTCGAAGACGCCATCGACAAGTGGGCTGGCAAGGGTGAAGTGATCCCCGAGCCCACCCTTGAGAGGCCTGAATCTCAACCGGAGTGGGAATGGCGACAAGTTGAACCCTCATTCTGGTCAACCAAGTATCAGTGGTTGCCGGCGAACCTCCAGCGCCAGGCGGACGGCAGGTTCAAATTTACAAGCTACATCAATAATCTGCACCCCACCAAACACGCCGATATCTACGCAACGATTGAGAAACTGGTGGAGAAGGCTCTCCCAGCCTGGGATCTGTGCCTGACTCCCTATGAACGTGCAAGCACCAATGGCGGACGGAATGGTTTACGTATCCCCGAGCCTGAAGACCCCAGGTGAGTAAGACTTTTTGACACGCTTCCTTTGTTTCGGGATGATATCTGTATGCACCGCGGTATGTTGACAACCTCCGTGTAGCGACGAGAATGAAGAAAATTGGGATCCGCCATCAGCTGATCATATTGACCTGCCCCAAAAGTACGACAGCGAGGGCGAAGAAGAGAGCGAGGAAGAAGATGAATATGGCCGGACTCCCAAAGAAGCTGAATGGCGCAGAATCCGACGGCCAATCCACCCAAAAGCTCCTCCATTCCAAGCCTGGAATTATCAAGTTGATGCGGGTAACCGTCTAAGAGACACCTATGACCGGCTTCAAGTCATTGTGAAGATGGCCTCCATTGAGATCGCGACAAATCAAGTCGAGTTCCCTGCTGGAAACTGGCACGTAGAAGGCCAAATGAACGAGCACATTGTTGGAACGGCCCTTTATTATCTAGACTCGGAGAATGTCACCCCCAGCTACCTGGATTTCCGCATGCCCACCAGCTACGATCAAGACGACCTGCAGGGAAAAGTCGGCCAAGATCAATTTGATTACGTGGAGCAGATCTACGGGACCGATCTCAAGCAAACCACTGCCATGCAATATTACGGCAGGGTCGAGACAAAGGAAGGCCGGCTGCTCGCTTTCCCCAATGTCTTCCACCATCGGGTCTCGGACTTCGAGAGAGTTGATGAGACCAAACCGGGCCATCGACGGTTCATCGCCCTCTGGCTGGTCGACCCTGAAACCCGCATCATCAGCACTGCAAATGTTCCTCCCCAGCAACAAAGTTGGTGGCTTGAGAACACCTTCCAACACGCGACCGAAGATAATGCAAGCGATATTCCTCAGGTGATTGCAGAGCATATGAAGGTGAGGATACCTAATAACCAAATCATCGAGACAGCGGTCTCAACTGGCAAGTCCCTTCCGGCGGAACTCACAGATATGATTAAGCAGGAGCTTGAAGGCGATTCTCTCTTGATGAGTCTGGATGAAGCGAAGGAGCACCGCCTAAAGTTGATGGACATTCGCAGCAGGGTCCACGAGTCTGCGGAGAAAAGATGGAACCGCAACGAGTACTTTTTCTGCGAGCACTAGGGAGACAGCATGTTGCTCCAAGGAGGCATATCAAGAGCGGTGGTGCTGGAGACAAGGAAGCATAGCGACGAAATCTTGATGTTCGTTTGCAATGATGGGTCTTCGCATTTGTTGGGGTAGTTACTCTCCCCTACCTCCATAACAATCTATGACTTTGCTGCTTTTGTTGCATTGTAATATTCGAATCGTTCAATTTAGCTACATAAACTTCCACCACTCTCGCTTCTCATTAAATCCCTTATCTAATTTAGAAGTTCACCATTTGACTTGGCCACCTGCTCATCAAAGTCTGTTTTCTATGATTAGCGAACCCAGCAAAATCACTCCTACTCAAGGGGCAACACTTACAGGGTTGAAAAGCAAGCCAGCCTTTTTCCGGCCCGCCGACTTGCTTTGCTGTATACTCGGCCTCTTGTTCGTCGATGAATATCTTCTTGTATCCTGCAGCGGCGGCGGCATCGGCCATGAGCTGGGCCTGGCATGACTTGTCCAGGCTAAGGAACCAGAACGCAGCCTCGTCGACCGTCCCTCCGACGGTAAGAAGGCCATGGTTCATCAGAATAGCCGCCTTGCAGTTTCCGAGGGCCTCGGCGATGCGCTCGCCCTCCTCGTCGTCGACAACAGCGCCTTTAAACTGTTTGTAAATAGCGAGGTCTTTATAGAAACGTAGTGCATCCTGTGTAATTGGCTCAAGATCTCGAGCGAAGGCGGAGAATGCTTTGCCTGCCACGCTGTGCGCATGGCAAGCGGCGTTGACGTCAGGCCGGGCCTTGTGGATAGCAGCGTGGATGGTGAAAGCGGTTAAGTTGATGGGTTCGTCGCCCTCAACAACATTACCCTCTTCATCAACGAGGATGAGATCAGAGGCCTTCATCAGAGAGAAATGGCGGCATAGCGGGTTCAGCCCTGGACCCAACATGTTAGGAGGTTTCTATCTGGTGGTGGTGAATGACGTACAAAAATGGTCAGTTAGGATGGGATCCCTGACAGAAATATGGCCAGCAACACCCTCGTCAAATCCCCGGGAAGCAAACACTCGACAGGCCGCAGCAAGGTGTTGTTTTCGATACAATCTCTCGTCCTCTGGGTTATCAAACTTGGGCTGGGTCCTCATTTTCAGGGGCCTACCATCTTTAGTCTTGGCCGAAATCTGCAGCTGGGGCGGATTCGAGTCTTTCGCCATCCCGTTGACGACGATTCGGTCATCAGCCGCGGTGGAGAGCGTGGGCGCAGGGCTGCTGACGGTCTGTGTGATTGTGGCCATAGTGTTCGGTATGGTCTTGTTCTAATATAAGCGGCCGGTGTAAATAGGAGTGTTCTCTTTCTGTGAGTTCACAGTATGTTATTGGCTTGCTAGAGTAAAATAAGAAGTTAGCGTGGTAGGCAAGGTCGTCATTTATATAGATGATGAATACCCCGTGTTCCCCGCGTATTCCGTAACCTTCAGATCGGCATAATCTCTCGTTCATGCCGCTTTTTGTTTTCCGAATGGATGAGCGGAAAAGCTTGTTACTGGTGGCTCTGTGATGTATCGACAGTAGCTTACTATAAAATATAACCGACATATCCGGCCGGCTATATTTTCTCACGTCGCAATGAAGATCAGTATTTTTTCGCTAGGCATTGTTATGTTTTGTTTTTCAGCCGGTGTCAAAAGCTTCTACGAAGACGTCCCGTTTCTTTTCTTTTTCCATTTGCTTCCTCTTTCCTTCGTTTCTGGGCAAGTCAGTGAACTTCCCAAAATCTACACAACACTGGCATCGTCACTCATTCCGGCTTCCTCCCCGCAGCCGAGCTCGAAATCACGCCGGTTTTGGTCGCCTCTTTACAAAAAAATCGAAAGACTTAGTGCCGGCTGTGAAAGGAAATTTTGATTTGGTTCGAGCAGTCTAGAATATCATACGATGGGAGAGAGAATATAGAGCGTTTCAGCATCGCAGTTCATAAGCATAGCTTCTAAGTTAGTATAAGAGCACACCCCAGCCCTAGTGCCAAGCTATAATCCCTCTGATGCTTACAATATCTAGCTGTCATCTGATGAGTCTGTCTTTTTTGGCTGTGGCATTCGCCCGGTCATTCTTTTCGCCATCTGGTGAATCCATGCTTTGGAGCCTTCAGTGTCCTTGGGATTTTTCAGCCCGCACGCCTCCCAGTTGAGATCCAGACAGAGCATATGACTAAGCTGCTCAATACTCGCAGGCTCCAATGTAACCAGAAGCGGCTTGAGGAGTTCCGGCGTGGATAGTGCGTCTAACGTGTGCAAATACGGTAGGCACAGCCAGCCGCGAGCGCATGCATCAAGATATCTTTTGTACACATCCCCATCTGGAGCAGAGCCCAACGATCCGAGATCATAGTGAGCCCGAAGGAGTATCACCTCGGTCATGATCACCTGGATGGTTAGTTGAGCTATGTGAAACGATGCAAACTCGAATCGATAACCGAGGAAGAAATCGGGAGCGAGGCATTCAGTAATGCAACCCAACTTCATATACCTCTGCCATATTTTAGTTGCCTCCAGTTTCCGTATAACCCTCGCCAGCTTTTGACAAAATGTGATTCTTCTAGTCTCCATTCTGGAAGGGTCTTGTCGAATCTCAATTAGCTTTGGGAGCCAGCTCCTGTAGTAGCGGAAGAGGTTTGAGTGGAAGACGTGGCCTAAAATCTGTAGCAAAGTGTCCTCGTCATCATCTATTCCAGCGTCGTCCTCGTCTGTTCCGAATTCTTCATCGTCTGTTCCAGAGTCGTCATCGTCTGTTCCGGCGTCTGCATCGTCTGGTTCTTCCTGTTGGCCATCGCCACCAACCGAATAACGACTCGCCCAAAGATCGAGGTCATTGAAAATATCCTGAGGTTGGATAAGATAATCCTGCTCCGTATACATTAATTCAGGATGATACATTATCACTTCATACTAATTTCTCCATTCAGCACTTGGACTCAAAAACTTGTTACAATATCTTTAGACCTTACCATGATAAAGAGATGCGCGCCGACTACTTCAAAGTGAAGCTCATCTTTCATGTCTGGGTTTCCAATCTGTTTGATTACCCGTCGTATCCCAAGCTGATGTGGCAGCAGCTCAGCAGGCGAGTAGAGCCCGGAAAAACGCATGAATCTGTAAAAGAGCATCATGGCGCCCAGAGTCTCGACTGTGTACAATTGGTCGCCGGCCACAGCACGCTTCAGACTCCGGATCGCCTTGCCATACGCCTTACTTCCAAACATCGTTGACACCGGCTCGCGACGCTTAAAACACTGAATCCAAAGTTGGCAGAGCAACGCCGTACAGTCGAGTAGGCAGGGACTCTGGGATATCCTCTGAGGACAAAACTCCAGCATATCCTCCATTCCAAAAACGGTGAGTTTTTCCGTTTGAGCTAACGCCGTGGCCTGGGCTCCGACGGTATCTGCGTGTGTACATAACGTGAAACGAGGGACCTGGAGGCGCAACCGGCCACTCATCGCATGGCCGTCTGCATACTGTTTCAGAGGCCCTCGGTGGACCAGCACTGCAGTTTCAGAAGTTTTAGCAGGCTGCAGAGCGGTCTGTTCGGAAGACTCAGTTGTAGAGACAACATGATTGCCATTGTTAATAATCTTCATCAACGACGATGGCCCAGGGCAGCGAACCCCTTTCCGGATGCATTGTGAACAAGACGGCCAATTTTGATCACACTAAAAATGGTTGAGGTTAAGATCAGCAGCGCTTCCTGAGACGGAGTGGTATGCCGTTGACTTGCCTTCGTTCTCTTCAGTTTGCAGTTCTGGCACGCTAAAGACCTTGGAATACCTGGCATTGTTACTAAAGATGCGCAAAGTTTACAACTTCGATGGTGATTTGATTGTGTTGGTTGTACGAGGATCCAAAGCGAGAGGAAATCAAAAGGAGTCTAGTAATTGGAGTTTTCCCTCTTGACCACGTAAGCATAGCACAAAAGCCCGGGGCATGATCCCCAATTTAGATATTAATGCCATTAATTGGGAGCGCGAGAGGCGCCTTACTGCGGTCAAATGGGCCAATAGTATCTTGGGACAGGGATCATACTCTGGACCAGTTGTCCGTTGCGCTTTTAACCAGAGGCTCATGACCGGCATCATGGCATAGGCTTTTTGTTTTTCTCTAATTTTCTTGCAGGACTTTCATTCTTGAGAATACCTTAATAATATGATACCTATGCTGTATTTGTTTCCAGCCCAACGGTTAACTCTGCTCGGTAAATAGAGACACAGGCTTGAACTTGAGAAAATACATTGTAAAATATACATCATTGCCTAGCAGGCCTTTGAGAAAGGGAGTACAACAATAAAGTTCAGTAAATTACATCCGGCCCGAGAAAGGAACGTTAGAAAAGTGTCGTCGCTCTATATCAACTATCTAAACAATCTCAATCCAAGTAGACCACAGTGTAATATGAATAAATTGCGCGAGATCCTCGATACCGATCATTAAGAAGTTGAACAAGAGAAAGGCTTCCCAAGACCAGCTTGGAATTTATTGATCTGGTATCTGGTCAGTTTCACGTGTAATCGCAGAAGCGAGAAAGTTCCCCATTTAGACTTACAATTTCAATTACACTCGCATAAGTTCCGCATCCAAGCGCGATAAGTCCGATGACAAGGACGATGAAATTTCCCAGTGCTGTGAGTAGATTATGTCGGGCGTACCAAGGTCCTTCCTTGATGAGTGCAAACCACATCAGAGGAGGTAAGTAGTACGAAAATCCCGACACAAACAAGGAGGAGATTATGGACAGCAGTTCGTTGAAGAATGGGATTGCCTCCGCAATGATCCAAGCGAGAATTGAGACGACTGACACGAGGGTGAGCCAAGTGGTCCAACCCTTGACTGTGTTGACGTATTGGGTGACGGTAGATCGATACATCTGGCCATGGAGGTATCGGCAAAGAACAGTGATGTTAATAGACCCTGAGACAAAGATCACCGGAAAAGCGACACCAAATGCAACTCTCGAGATTAGTGGACCAGCAGATAGCAATGCCGGGGACTTGACATCCTGTCCCACGAAGTAGTATATGATTGAGCCGGTGAGAGTGTAGATGCCGATCTCAATCACTCCGACAGCCATGACGGACTTCTTGAAATCCTGAGGGGTATGCAATTCATCCATAAACGACGGCTGAGCAACGGCAAATGCATACGCAAAGACGATGTTTGCGACCGCTGTCATGGCTTTCGTGAAGGTGATGTCCTTCCTAGGCCACGCAGACCACGCAGCCGAAGCAAGCTCCTCCTGCTGGCCAGTAGACTGAATCCCCGTAGCAATCATGGTGATAAGAATGGCGGCGGCAATGGATGCGAAGTCGACATAACCAAGAATAGCGATTTCCGCAAACGAAGGGGGAATTGCAAGAGCGAGCAGGATGATTGCCGAGACAATGCTGAAGACCAGGGTGCAGACATCACTCCCCGTGACGCTCGCAAAGGCAATCTTGCCAGTCAAACAATGCGATCCGGTGACGAGGATGAGTGAGACAACAAACCCAACAGTGAGCACCCAGTAGCCAAACTCGCCCAGCAGGAGTCGACCAATGTCGGTGTAATGCCTGACCTCGGGATACTTGAGCTTGACCTCACCAATCACATAACTGGCGTAGATGGCCGCGAAGCCCAGGCCGACGGTGAGTATCACGCCGCAGACCATTCCCAGGGTTGCGTATGCAGCGGGAAGGCTCAGACTGCCAAGAGCGACGGCCTCGACGATGAGGATGACGGCCAGCCGCTTCCAGCCAAGACGATGGAACTTGGCCTCGCCCTCCTCGATCTTGTCGACATCCGGGCCATCCTGCACCGTCTTGTCCATCTTGACGCTCATCTTGACCGACTCCTTGATTTTTTTGCCAGATTTTAATTTTATCTCAAATTACCTGGATGGAGATTTTTTCTCTCCCTCTTCTTCCGTGTCGTTTTGCCTTTCCACAGCCCCAGTAAAAAGTAACAAAAAGTGGTGCTTTCCGCTTCCAGAAATACGTCTGATTTCCTCCTTGAGTTTAGTTGCCAAGCATTTAAAACATTTCTGTTGTGTAAGAGGCGATTTTTTGTAGGTAATGGAAGAGAATAAAAGAGGACCTGTGTTATGATATGGTACGAGAAGACGGAGATTGAAGCCTCAATTGAGTCAATTGATGGATTTATTTGAATTAAAGCAAGCTAGGTGCTCAATACGAGGAAAAACAAAAACAAAAAACATGCCAAACCTTATCAACGACATTACGAGACACTCATGCGACTACGCTTCCGGTAGGTTGGCCTAAGTCAATGGCAAGTCCACGTGTCTGAACTTTGTTTTCACGACTACAGGCTCTTGACGGAGTGAAGCACGGGCATGGTCGACAATTTCCCTTTTCTGGCACCAGATAAGCATATGTGGGAGAGCCGTCACTGGAGATCGAGCCGCAGAGGATAACCGTAGTGCTTGGGGGGGGAAATCCAGTTCATTGCTTCGTTGGAGAGGTGACCATCTAGGGGCAACACGAAACTCCCAGATAAAATCTCTGTATTTTTCACTAAGAGAGCCACACGATGAGAGCCATCCTGTCTAGTTGAAGTGCATCAAACTTCACATCAGTTTTTGCAAACATTATCAAGTAGGCCGGATAAGGTGAAGGAGACAGGAAGGGTTGGCACAATGCTATCAAGCTTGATTCTACTTACTTCTGCTTGGCATATCTGACACTTGGCCTGAATCCGAACTCATTTCGGCTATCACAAGCTAAGTAACCTTGAGCGTTGATTGGTGTTGTTTGAACAACGTGCAGTAGCATTTCGTACATAAGGGAGATGTGAGTTAGCTATCCAGAAAGCGCCTGTTGACGAAGAAACCAGTATTACCACTATGTCTGGTCGCAATGGGCTTCTTTGGCGAATCAGGCTTCTTTGTTCAGTCCAGGGGCTAAAGTTATAAAAGTAGAATACGTGATTAAGTATCTATCTATAATTCGTAATATCTATATGCATTAAAGAGGGGGGGGGGGGGGGGGGGTTGCTCTATACGAAACTCCCCTGCGCGTTAGCCGAGCTGCTTCGAGTAGTGCCTATGTTAGAAGGAATATGCAGGCTAGGTGTACTGCTCAGTTTCTTCTCGTGTCTGTTTGACCCATGCATGCTATGGAATTTCTCGCTGATTAGGTGAAAAAGAGGCTGGAGGGCGGGGAAACAGGCTGTCCAGAGTCCAAGATTACCTTCCAGGTCCACCCACATGCCGACGCGGTACAGCTTATATGTCCTAAAAAGAAATATCAGTCAACAAGTGCATTTCAGTTGTAACTCGACAGTAGCAACAGGGATCCATAGAGGGCTGGGTTTTTGTGAAGATATACATACGGGTCCGTAGAGAAATCGATCATTATATGGTAGGTGACACGCATAATGCTTGCGATGAGAGCCAATAAACCGACGCAGATGACAAGAAGCACTTGGGCCCTCTTCTTCGAGAATTTCATAATGATGCAGATAAGCGTCACGGGTAGAACAAGGAGGCCAAGGTCGAGAGCAACACCCGTAATCCCGTGCGACCAAAGTAATTTTCTTTCCTCTGCCTTACTCATACAATGTCGGTCTGGGGCCGTGACATCCCATAGGTCGCTAAAGATGTGTTCGTCAATCAAAGGTTATCATTACCAGCAGTGGAGAGTGCATACGTACGGGATATGTTCGCACTCTGTGAGGTAAACAAAGAAGACAACCATCGTCACGGAGAGGTTTATAAACGCCAGAGCATACAAACCCCAACGGTACCATCCTAGTAACTTGCTCAATCAATGATTCTTCTCACAAAACAAAACCATCGGGAAGAACGAACTGTCACTACTGAACTTCATGTAGAAGGCGATAACGGAGAAGCGTATCATGCCGATTTCGACAAAGAACAACAACGAGAATGTAGGTAAAAACTGTCCGTAATGTTCGTCAAAAAAGCCCATTTGATGGAATAAGGGTCGAAAGCTGGTCTTACTTCGAAGAAATCATCAAGCTGCTCGGGGGGGACTTGCTCGATGGGAGTTCCCGCCCCCATATTGACGGCTATATGAGGCATTAGATGCATGTCAGGAGGATAAACACCGAGATAAGGGGTATCACACATATTATTTTCAGCACCGAATATGCTGCTAGTAAAGCCTAGTATTCAATTCTGTTAGCATATAATATATGCCAAGTCGGAATCGGTAGGCGTACAAATGCAACGCCTGCGATTAAATCATCCCATCCCAACGACCGAAGAATAAATATCCGAGTGCCTATTCTTGCGATTATCGTAACCGAGGAGACAACGAGAAGCGCGATGTTCAGTTTCTCGAGAATGTAGCCCGGCGAATCGGGGGGTGGCCGCCAGTTCGCCATGTTATTATTGTGGTGGACACCAATGTGCTCGAAATATATGAGGGGCGCCAACGAGAATTCGACAATGGACAGATCGGTAATCGAGTAGACCCCGCAGCAGCTGGTTGGGATCGAGCATAAGAACTAGGTCATCCGGTAATGCAATCGTGCCTCGGGTAGTGGCACGGGGGAAAACTTGGAGTGTGGTTGTGTCTTCCACAAGAGACTTGCGACCCGCCTTGTCCAACATCTCACGCATACTCACCCCACCGAAGGTCAAGAGGCGTGGGTGATGCTTTATATCTTTTAGAGGGAGGCTGCTGTGGTCATTCTTCAAGTCCATTTGGTTGGTCCATTTGGTTGCTGGAATGCAAATACATTCCGAAGACTTACTTCGTTCTAACTAACTATCCTAGATTAGGGAATGCAATGATGCTCGTTTGCCTAACACCTTCCTCGTCTGAGTCTCTTGGGCTGATTGATTTAGCTGGGAGATATAAGACGTTTACATTCGAAAGCAAACAGACGCTGATATGTTGGCGTTTGCACGACGATGTAAGCTCACACATTGATTAGCACGAGGAAGTTTTGCATAGTAGGCAAGGTGTTCGAAGCTCAGGGCTGATCTTAACATCTACGCCCACAGTGGAGCCTCTCGGGCGTAGGAATGTTTCCACTCCAGATGTATACCGAAGATTTCCGGGGTCCTGGCCCCCGCACGTTGACCGATATTGGCGTCTGTTGGTTATTCAAAGATGAGGGGAAAGGCATTTTCGTATTTGGTTCAACTAACTTTGATCTTTACCAAATCTTGCTTCAATTTTCAGCTCGGCTAACGCATTGAGCAAGTCGGCGTTCGAGGTCCGATAAGCTTCAAGTCGCCCTACCCTCACCCGAACACTCCCTCTTTCAACATCATGATCTTCACAGCGGAAATGTTTCTTCGTCTCATGACACGCGATTCTGTAACTTAGATTTGATTCAGCGGGTGTACTTCTTGGATTATTTCTACCTCCGGTCTAATATGAGATGCATGTACCAGCGTTCAAGGATGTAGCCTGTACGAGGGGGGATTAAACTATGTTTAGGTATATGTGAACTCAAATAGACTCGCCCTTTGATTTTGTAAGTTTTACCGAAGATGGCACGGAAGTGAATCAGCTATTCTGAAAGAACAAATGGGGCTCCTTCTGTAACCAGCGCGCATAACTTCACCGTGTATGGAGAGGATTTGGTTTGACTTCCACGCGCCGGAGGCGCCCCAAGCCGTGGTTAAAACTTTTCTTGTTAACACTTCTTGGTGAAGCTGGTATTGTTGTACAAGTAGTGCCAGCTGCGATAGTCAACCCAATCGACCGAACCCAGCCACTTAGGTACTTTGATGGCAATGTAACAGAACCCATCCCCAATCGGTTCTCTAAACTTGCGTGCACCAAAACCTCACACAACTCTGTTTTCCCCCAAAACTCGCCATTCGGATAAAGCAAAGTGTTTTGTTTTACTCTTAAAAAAAGGCCCCCAACTTCCATAACAAGACGAGGACTAGCAGGACAGCAAAAGGCCATCGGTCACGCAGCATGTTAATTGCCGCATCTGTGTAGTTTCTTTCCTGGTTCTCATATGCACGAGGCCACTCGCTGTATAGTCTCGAATCATTATTGTCGTTGCTAGCCTCAGCATTATCCCCAGGCTGGTCGTCATCGTTTTGCGGCCGTGCTCTTCGCTCAGGGTTGAGGTCAGCTAGGCTCAACGGCTTTTTCTTCGCCTTCAATTCAAACTGTCTCATTGGTCTGTTCCCAAGAGCCATCTTTCGAACTGAACGAACTGGTGCTAAATTGTGGTGATGAAGACTGAGAATATCAAAAGGTTGGTCCTCGTGTGAAGTCGTGACAAGCCGTTCGTTGCATAAGCGTGAAGGAGAAGAGCGACCTGATATAGAACCTGAATTGTTTAAGGAGGTGTTATCTAAGTAATTGCATGAATAATCTTCAAAAAGTTCTTAGGAGAACGGCAAAGGTCCTAAAGGCCCGTATTTAATGAAAACCAGGCTCGTTAGGCAGACGTGCCAGAAGGATTCTGGTTGGTGGGAAGGGCCCTTGTCATCGTACCGGGATGTTCCTTGGCGATCCATCTCGGCGGATTCGCTTTTCGGCACGCACCTCTAGAGCTTGTGCCGAGCCACAATTGGAGACCTCTCTTGTTTTTTCAAGGCTTCCATCCGTGGGTTATTTCACCCGCCAATCTCCACGATGGCCTAGATCTTTTCATGACTATAGAATTCGGTCGTTGTCGAAGAAAGGCAATAGAGTTACTAATTATAAAACAAACGTACTCGATGCCAGGACCACAACTTATCAATTGATCTTTAAAGATCATATTCAACCCTAGTATCTAATAATTTGAAGAAACTAGAGGGAAACGGGATTCTATGATATTGGGGGCTATTTCAGAAACGTCGAAAACTCTATCTATCTCGAACAATACATCAATTATGTTGGTCACCTCATAAATTATCACTTCTGAGGCTTGGAGCTTCTAGGACAAGTTGGAAAGGACTCGTCTTCATTTGGCTGCGTAACATGGTTTCGTGGGCCTTGTCCAACAATTCCTCAAGAATAGTGATAAGGCAGAAACTCAAACCCAGTCAATGTCAACACCGCTACACGTTGTATCATAGCAGGGTCGCCTTGAAGTATCCAGAATCTAAATAGATAATGGACTCAACTTGGAAGCCACAACTTCAAATGGGTCGACTCCATTGATTCTGGCTGCAAGCTTTTGGCACTCTTTGCATGTCGAATTCATGATAGAGAAAGGAGCATACTTGGATTCAAAGAACGAGGACGGCTGTGCCATGTTAGACTCAGCCAGTGATAACAGTCATGACTAAACAGTCATGTTTCTGCTTCAGCAATGTGCAAATCACGCTTCTTTTGCATTCAAGATTGACCCTCGCTGCTGAACACCTCACATTCTAGACACCTCGAAGTTACGGAGTCCATGATCGGTAGAGGCCTTGGGATCAAAATCGAGGACCCCGAGGGAAACACGCCCCTCTCTCTGGCTGCCATAGCAGGTCATCTGGGCGCCGTCACATATTGACTCGAAATCGAAGCAGACATTCACTGCCGTGAATATCTACTGCACTGATGTCGGCTTCAGTTTCGAGGCACAACAATGTAGTTCCGAGAGCTAGCCAGCTTCATAAACGTTGATGTGTTTGTGAACCCAACGGCAAAAGCAAAACAATCCATTGACGTTCCCGACGCTCCGTTTGAGAGGGTTTCTGTGGTTATGTGTTGCGAACACTAAGAGTTAACTCCGCCTCAAAGGCCGGCTGCTTCAACATAGTTCATATGTTACTTAAAAAGGATTTATACATAGAAACAAATAATGGCAAGCAATTTAAAATGCATGTTAAGCAACTGACTTCATGTTAGTGACCCTCATACAAGAGAAACTCATTACAAAAGACCGTCTCATAGTGGCTACCCTAAACCTCAATTTCCGATACAGCCGAAGTCATCACGGCAGGCACGGAGGAAAACTCTTGACCTCAGAGCACATCAATCCAGCTCTCAATCATCAATTATTACTCGAATCTCAGCAGTAGCCCCAGGGTCTCTCCATATCGCACGCCCAGATAAAGGCATCATCCTCTTGGGGGACCTGCTCAGTCATTTCACAATGATCAAATTCCGTGTGCAGCCCGTGGCAGCCCTTCTCCTCATCGTCATCACAGCCCTCCTCATGGCCATCACGCTCGTGCCCAACAGCCTCCCGCGTGCAGATAACGTTCCTCTTGCTGTTCTTACGCATACCGTACTGTTCAAGTTCACCGCGAAAGCCAGCGCTGAGGATGTAAAGGCGGTAAGCAACGCCCGTCAATTCAATTGATTCCGCCACGCCACGCAGCCATGACAATCCCACCGACCGACCAGCTAACACGGGGGATTTTCCTGCCCATTTCCAGGCCTGCGCCCGTTTCCTGAAACTAAAAGACGATTGCATTCTCCCAGGCAAGAAGACGCCGTACATCGTGTCCATGCGCGGCGGCCAAGACAATTCCCCCGAGGGTCTGCAGGTGAGTCCGCGGATGCATACGCTGTGATCCATAGCAATGCAGTTTCGATCCCGTCCTGCTTATCGTATATGCTCCTTGATTCAATTGTACTAATGCTGCCCGGGGAACGCAGGACGGCTTCACACATGGATTCGTCGTGCAATTTCACTCGGCCAAGGATCGCGATTACTATGTGAACTCGGACCCTGCCCACCAGGCCTTCAAGGAGAGCATCGCCAGCTTAGTGGACAAGGCCCTCGTGGTCGACTTTGACAATGGCGTGTACTGAGAGAAGTGCGGAGCAAAGCGATGCAGAGCGCCCCAAATGGCGACGAGCCATTGGGTCCCAGCGCGTGGATGGAAGAGGAGCCGGGCAGATCGGTTGTAGATCAGTCATTCGCATACATGCAGCCAATGCAAAGCTTACACAGTGACCCAGTGTCCGACCCAAGCAGCCATACTGGATGCTGACACAATCCAAGCGCGAGAGGCGTGGAAGGTCCTCCCAAGACAGCAGCCCTCGGATAATCCCTCTTCTGTCAATCATACGGGTGCTACGTTGGCCCGATTTGACGGGAATACGTGCTCAGACTGACGTCTTTCCAGGAGGGAACCGCTCTCTGGACCGTCCCTTTAGGATGGGGAAGGGTATATCACGAATGCAACGATGAGATGCTAATGATTGATCGAGGCTTGGCTCTCATGTTGGGTTGCATCAGCGCTGCAAAAGTGCGGTGAGAGGGGAGGGGTTGGAGCGAATGGCTCTCCTATGCAGCCATTGACAAGTTCGACATGAGACATGCATGCTCCGTTCTTTTGAGGGCAAGATTTTGCACGTGAAGAATACCATGATCTTCCATCCCCAAAAAGTTGGAAGGCAGAATGATCGGGCTCGACGCTAACTCTTTCCAGGAGTGTCTCACTCGACAGCCATTGCGGTGTCCTTTCTGTCATTTCTCACCCACCAAATGGGATAAAACCCCTCAAGCGAAGCTGTATCGACGCGCATTGTGCGAAGCAAGTCCTCCGCAGCATCTGCCTATCGCCCAAAGAGGTCGAGGAGGGGAAAGGGAGGCGCTGCGAAGGCTGGCTGAAATATCCCTGCACGCTGCACGACTGCCCATCCTCATCTACCTTATGCCTCCGATGTTCGGTATCCGGGCACTTCACCTCTCTCAGCGATTCCAGCATGCTGTGAAATGATCTACTTCCGGACTGATACAGGTAGAAGAATGTCCGAGCCATCCCTCGGCCGAGGCGAGGGCCTCTCAGGGTGCAATTAGCAAGGCGTCAACATAACGCGCATTCATTATCCATCTTCATGTGCTGCTCCCGGTAAATTCAACAGAATGCGCCCTCCGAGAGCAGAACGCGCCTCGGGCGCTGTCACTTGCTGCCAGGCCGGCCGTTTTCCCTTTAGTCTCATGCAAGAGAGCATAAGACAAGTGACCGAAAATTGCCCCGACTCCCGGCAAGCTTACACGCCATCGGGTCAAAGTATATCCATCATGTCTCCTGCAGGTCCAGAAGTCGCACATACCAGAGGAGATGAGGGCCGAATGGACTCGTATTAATGGAATCTCGGCGAGCCCTCTAGGAAGCGTGTGCGGTCGGTGGATGCTCGCAATCGTGTGGTGATCTCCTCTCTCCTGCGTCCCTTGCCAACTAGGATAATATGTGGTCACCTCACTTACATCCCTCGTAGGTACCACATAGATATAAATTGTGCCCTACTCCCCTCCATTTTCTGTCAAGCTCGATCGAAAGAGGCCTCTCGATTGATCTGTCATTCCTGGAACCTCCCCGACGCGCACCATTACACACCTCCCTCTCTAGCATAGAAAACAATAGCAAGAAGAAGCTAGCAGGACTCTCCGCCACATCATAATGGCAGATCAAGTGCGTCTTGTGCGTCAGCTGGACTTTTCCAAGTTCCTCGCTGGAGATCCCACCGAGAAGAGTGATTTCTGCCGCGAGTTTGTGCACGACTTAAGCCAAGTGGGCTTCGTGAAGCTCACCAACCACGGCATCCCTCCAGATCAGATCCGTGGCGTGTTCCACTGGGTAAGCAGAGACGACCCTTTCTTCAATCGAACCGGCATTGTGGACTTTCGTGAGTTGTGAATCCTGTAACTAATGTGCAAACTACATGCAGAACCAACAATTCTTCTCACTCCCGTCCAAGCAGAAGAGCAAGGCTGCTCATCCGGCCGAGGCTAACCCCCATCGTGGCTACAGCTATGTCGGGCAGGAAAAGCTCTCCATGGTGAAGGACTACGAGAAGGGCACCCGTGACGCGATGGAGGTCATGGACATCAAGGTCCGCTCATCACCCCTCGAGTTATGCTCTGAAAGAAGCGACCGCTAACACGGACCAACGACAGGAATCGTTCGACCAAGGCCCCAAGGAGGACGAGCTGTACCCCAACCGGTGGCCCGACGAGCAGGACCTCCCCGGCTTCCGGTCCTTCATGGAGATCTTCTACGACTCCTGCCACGAGGTCCACCTCAACATCCTCCGCGCCATCGAGACGGGCATGGACCTCCGCCCGGCCTTCCTCCAGGACCTCTGCCGCGTCAACACCTCGGAGCTGCGCATCAACCACTACCCGGCCACCGACGTCTCGGCCCTCCGCAAGGGCGCCATGCGCATCTCGGAGCACACTGACTTCGGCACCGTCACCCTGCTCTTCCAGGACTCGGTCGGCGGCCTCGAGGTCGAGGACCAGGCCAACACGGGGCGGTACTTCCCCGTGCTGGCCGAGGACCCGGACGAGATCATCATCAACATCGGGGACTGCCTGCAGCGCTGGACCAACGAGCGGCTGCGGTCGACGAGCCACCGCGTGCTCCTCCCGCCGGGCGCGGGCGACTGGATCCCGGACAGGTACTCTGTCGCCTACTTTGCGAAGCCCAACAGGACCCAGACCGTGGGGCCTCTGCCTGAGTTCCTGAAGGAGGGTGAGGTGGCCAAGTATGATAACATCACGGCGTGGCAGTACAACCAGCTGAAACTCTTAAGAACATATTAAGGGTGAGATTGATTAGATGGGCCGGTGATAATCTCATGGTAGAATGGTAGCTGTTGCCAACATCTGCTGTAGGGTAAGGCGATGGGCGATCAAAACAAGACCGCGTCTCGTGACAGTCGGGAGTAGGGACAAGATGGATGGACTTATGATAATGTGTCAATGTTAAACTTGGTTCACAAATATTCATTTTTGATCAGTACTACACGCTTCATTGATCTGTAGCATATAGAGTTCAGACGGCGGCGAGAATAAGGCTAGCCATGTTGCCGTGACTGTCGCCCGCGAGGGCTCTATCAAGCGCCTATTCGACGAGCATCAAGCCAGCAATGCGCAGGAATAATATGATGCACGACCTGAAAGTGATTCTGCATCCCTCTATTGATTCACGACAAAGCCACTAATCTCCCTGGGCCTAGACTCAAGCCATGGACACGCCATGCCCGACGCCTGCGCCGGAAGCACAGGCCAACACGATCGTCGCGTTGCCGCAGCCGTGTTCTGGAGCAGAAATGATTCCAAGGGCCAAGGCTAATGGGGATTATGTTGCAGCCCCGTGCGCACGCCCCAGCTGAGTCTACGATTTGGCAAGCCAGTGCCGACCGGCTTACCATCAAGTCGGTTGTTGTCATCAGGCCGCATCAGTGTCGCAAGTGGATGATCCACGATGCATCCCGTTGCGCTTCTCACTGCTGCAAATGCAAGATACGGTGGCTATCGGCATCTGGGTCGCCCACGGCGTGAACAGGTTGGAAATGCATCCAACAGCTAATTAATGGATCAGATAGATGAAAGAACGCATCCTCCCGAAGGGTCGTACCGCAGCCGAAAGGTTTTATGCTGCAATCGCGTGTGTGGTTTAATATAATACAAACGTAGCTCTCGGACGCTGGAGCCATGATCCTTGTGCTAACATCAAGACCTGAACATGATGGATGAAGGTTTCTCAGCATGACTGTACTTTGCTGCCGTCTTATCTCATACTCTCAGTGGAAACAATTGTGAAGCGTCTATTTTGCGGGACACAGATAACATGCAGCTCGATGAGACAGAAATATCCATCGTCAAATATTAATAATATCAGAGGTCGAGATATTGCCAAAATCCTGCTTTGTAATGTCGCAAAGAGAGAGGCTCGAAGTTACCCATTTCGTGATCGTAGCAGGGGCAGGGCTCAGTCCCTGGCTCTCGGGAGATCTCTCCTCCTTACTGTATGCTGACTCTATCTCAAGATTGACTCGTGGGGTTCTGGGTGCACTGCTGCAGCATTGAATATGAAGTGAACGTGTTTGGTACTTAGGCCAGGCTAATATGACAGACACATCCTGATCTGAGCCACTTTATCACGCATTATGGAGATGAAGGCTTCCTTCTCCGCAGGGACCTGGAGCATTCGGTGATTTGACAACTAACATGACCTTTTGAGAAGGAGAGATTTGCCAAGGGGGAACGCAGAATCTGGGCCTGGGAACCCCCCTGCATCGTGGGAGCCGCTATCTGGCCCTTGTGTGTTAGACATAAACCACACCAGAGAAAGGCGCTGCTTGGCGTTTCAAACAAGGCTTGGATGCCTCAGAATGCCCCTCTTCCAGCCCGGCTGGCCACTAAGATGCGTGGAAGTAAATGGGTATTGACACTCTGGCCTTGAGTGGAGCCGTGTCAATGGATTGGATCGACTGACTGAGTTCTGAAGCTGTCTCTCTCATTGCTCAGTTTACGCACATGGTGATATGGATGGATGGACGGCAGCGGTGATGGTGGTGATGTTGAGGGAGGTGGTTCCTGATGAACGAGGCTGTTTTCAGCGCCCTCGCCCTTTCTTGGCTCAGCCCATCGTCTCGTCTCAGGCCCTTTAGCTGCATGCTGCCTCTAGCTGCATGCTTGGCCCTTGCGGCGTCGAAGGTGAGAAAGAAGAAACAGGTGGCGTCCCAAAGAACTGCCCCGAGTTCCCATTGCGCTTGTCACACCACTCGATGAAATTTCGTGCCAATTCCCATCTTTAGTCAAGCTCGCAACAGGTCTGCCGCATCCCTGCGGGCTTGTCTATCACGGAGCACCGATATTATGGCGTCGTACCAAGCACCACACACAGCTTCGCGAGGCTGTGATGGGATCTTGATCCCAGTCCGTGCTGCCGGACCCGAGAGCATGTTTGCTCCTGGATTGGTGGGGGAAATGTTCGCTCGACTCCTTCCCGCTAGACACCGGCAATGACGATCCAACCCTGAGGCCAAACTAGGCCTGTGAAGCAAGCTTGTCG